AGTGATATGAAAGGGTAAGAATTTCACCAATTGAAGTATATAATGGGTAGGGGAATCTGTCATTGCTGTATGTTAAAGGACCAAAAAGGTTACAAGGCGCATTTTCTGAATGTGAAAAAGACTAGAAAACTCCCCGGTTTGGAGAATTATTCATATTGAATTATTGTATTTACAGAGAATTATTATAGTTATTATTATTGTTCATTTACGGCACTTTAAACAGATGCAGCGTTTTAAACTAGTATTTGAAAGGGGTATCATTTGCCATCAAAAGATATACGAAAGTGGCAGCTTTTCTGTCGAAAATAGTCATATTAAAGGGTTAGGTATTGGACCTTGGGGCGGAGCCTTTCTGTATAAAATTTTGTTACATACCCCCCAGGCCATTTTCCTTGCCACGTTTTTGTACGCATTCAAGTAAAATGTAAAATGCCATTCTTTTCTTTTCTTTTGGTTGCCCCCAACCGAACTAAAGCCGAAAAACGAAAGAAACTGACATTTTCTAAACCGCCGGAATGAATTTAATCTTTGGCATTACCACGACTTCAAACAGTGGTCACGTACCAGAGCTCTGACATAGATCTGAAGTTGTAAGGAAAGACGCAAGCCAAAAAACATGTATGGCAGCAAATTATCCCGGCCAGTGCGGAGATAAAGACGAGAAAAAAAATGTTTCTCGTCCCCGGCCGCCCTTTTCATTTTTGGGGGCCGCCTCTTTGCTTTTATTGATTGTTACTGGAAAAGCCAGAACAAACAAAACCCGACAGGCGAAGAAGGTCTTACTTTCACAAAACAAAGCAGTTATTCAAAGATAATACTGATTCCTAGCTCCCCCTGTCAGACCTGATGCTTGTTTGAGGCTGAAATTCGTTCATCGAGAGGATCATTGCCCCTGCAGGGATTTCGCCCAGAAAGCGTAATCCCGAGTTGGCACTCTGGCAACTCGCGCGTATATTAAGGAGAGTACTTACAATTGAAATATACAGTTGGTTTGCCAGTCGATTTGCTTGAACAGGGGCCGCGAGGAATCGGTGGGAAATGGTGACGTTTCTTTTGTTCGCACCCTCAAGTAAGAGATGGTTAGGATGACCAGGCTGTAGGATGACGTAAACCAGAAACTTCTGAAGGGACCGTTTAGATAAATTTGATGCGTGGTATCAGTGACATTCTGAGGAGCAGCTCTTGAAAGACACTCGTTAAGCACATATGAAGTTATCAGGTGCGCACAGGAGCCGCATTACTGTTCCATGACTTCACCGTATAGACAGGGAGTAAGTTCTTATATTGTACACTGTCAGGAGCCCATAATTTTCAGTCTTTTATCATTTTTATCAACACCTCACGCTACACGTCAAACACTGCGTCTACGCGCCCGCTACCGGCCCTAGATACCATTTTAAACTCTATAAGCGACCTCATGGAACATAGCTCCAGAAGAGATCTACAACTTCTGCAAGATTGCCATTTCATCGGAACTACTGGTTACGTTCTCTGGGTAATTCGTTGTGTGTGACCGTGATGCGTCGCTCTAGCTGTTGGGAGAGTCTGGATTTGCTTGTCTTTCGCAGGAGTCCCTCAGGATAGGTAAGAGTCCTAGGAAGAGCTGGAGGACTCTTTTCAACGTGAAAATAACTAATATCATTATGATGAAACTGTACGAGAAGTGCCATCCAAGCAAAAATCGCGATCCGTACTAAGAGGAAGTACTAAATCCTTGTTGCGGACCTTATGCACAGCGGCTTCAGCTTGGAAAAGCAGAAAGAGTGAAGGTATAGGTTAGTTAGGTAAAATCGGTACAATATATGTTCCCATACATGAAGTACCTACCGCTTTCCGTCACTGGATCAAAGTAATCTGAAGTGGGATTGGATGAGCATAGGCTCATTACAAAGTCACTCGCTGGCTACTTTCACTTGCTCGTTGCGGGCAGTCATTCATCACTTAATTCTGCGTGAATAAGTTTAGCGAGATGCAAATCTCTCTCGTTGGTGAGATAAGACAGTTCGGCTATTGCATTGATATTTGATGAGATGGGCGGGGAATTCACATTCAGCTGAAACCCTTTGAAACTGATTCCGGATCATGATCTTTTCGAGGGATTCGACACACTTGCAATGCACTTTCACCGTTTTCCATGATTTATTTACTTACTCTTTTCTGAAACAACTTTGTAAACCTCATACAAAGTACAAACTGCTGTTCCTATTGCGTAACCAAAACAGGCGATGTTGATTCATATAGGCCGTCGGGCAATTATAATTTAAGCACTAGAATAATCAGAAGTCATGTTTCTAATTCCAATATGTTTTAAATTCACATTTCAAACGTGATTTGTTTACGTCAAAAAAATATGAGCGACTTCTGCAACGTTCCCCAAAATCCAAGATGGCGGCCAAAAGAGGGCAAATTTAAATTTCGATTTACAGAGTGAAAGTTATCGTTTTACCCTTGCTATCATGCATTTTTGTGATGCTTTTTAGTCAGTGATTAAGATTAGACATGTTTAGGCTGTTCCCGTTCAGTGAGCCATAAACCCAAATTTTCGGGTCTCAGCTAGTGGACTATGTATGGAATATAAGTGAAATCTTCATTTCTCGGTATTTTTCAAAGAGCTACACAACGACCAGCTAATTGACCGACAAAATACAGAAGGGGGAGGGGTGGGGTGGGGCAGCTATAGTGTCAACTATTACTAGCAGGAGCCCATCACCTATCACTAGCAGACTAGTCAGTTATATCACTTTTTAACTGGCTGATTTTTTTTAATGAAACGCGAGTTGCATTTTGTCACTAAACTAAATTCCAGGGATATTCCAAATTGTAATCGTTTTTGGCAGGCGTGGATCTAGGATAAATACTTACCGATTTCCTAAACAAGCGCCGAAGCTTCTAGGGGGGTCCGGGAGTATGCTCCCCCAGGAAATGTTTTAACTCCCTCAAGTCCCCTTTCCTGGGTTTCTGTGTCAAACAGATGGGATATTGGCCAGTTCCATTCTCCTCGGATAAAGCATTGGTCCAATGCATTTTCCAGATTTCATCCTCGAAGGTTTTTTTATCAGAAATATATTTATTATGAAAAATCTGACCGATTTCCGTAAAACGGTGGAAACCGGTGTGGATCCGCGCCCGTTTGTGTACCGTCCTATGATCTGTTCGCCTCTACTCGCAAAGCGCCGCGACCGGCGTTCACACCCTGAGAAACAAGTGGTCGTCTCTGCTTTCTCGGCTGGTCACAAAAAAGTTCAACAGCCCCTTCTCAACCAAAGACAGATTCTCTCATAAAATTCGAATTCCAATCGCTCCCTTGACTCTGGGCTGTCGGCACTCTATTTTTCATTCAAAAACGTGAATTTCGCCGTCGCCATGAACAAATTGCGACAAAGAAATCAGTTCATATGTTCGTTTTACTTTAAGAAAAGCTAGATCTGCTAATTTGCCATGTCAACTACCTACTTTTTTATCTGTAAGGTCAATCAATTTCGTGCCAAACTCACCTTCAGTGATCCGTTGCTGGGCCGGTATATAACACTCGCCTTTTTGGAAGTTATTTGGCGCTTTTTTGTCGGTCGGCAATTTAGGGCTTAATATACATCCGTAAACGTATTACACCGAATCGGCCCCTAATTTGAAAGGCTGAAACCGTACCAGTTCTGCTTCAGAATCTGTAGAACGTTCCAGTATGTAGGCCGGTTTCCTTAATGATTGTCATATTTCTTTGCTGAGGGTCACTCCTTTGCACATATATTCATGTTCATTGTGTGCTGGCTAAGAGGGCATAATTTCAATTCATGAAAGTTTAGAAACTATAGCTATTGTTAAATCAATTCAGATTAAACACTCCCATTATATTAAGTGCTAACCGTGTGATAAGCAAAGGTCAAAAATCATTTTCGGACAACTGATGGTAAGTATTGGATCCTTACAATTTTAAAAAAAGATTCATTGTTTAGTCAAATGATATAATACCGTATTTTACAGAGTTTATTAGTCGCAGTTCAGAAGGGGTTTCCACAATGCCAGTAGTAACATTAATAACAGCTGATCGCTTACAAGAGTGCTTACAAGGAGACCGGCGGCTTCGACTGTATATAATCCTGGCTATAAAGACGCAATATCTTCTCGAAACTTCGAACTGCGGTTAACTTTAATTCTACATAGATTGAACGTTCAGTTATAATCGTTGCTCTAAAGAAGTCAAGCGATCAAAAAGTCTCTGGTTAACTAGGTAACGGTTGGATTCTTTACTTTGAATTAAATGATACAGAAAATCATTGCCCTGCTGGCTATATTAACACAAGAATTTAAAGATATAATGTGCTTGGTTCTAATGTGTCTATATATATTCATTCCCCGAAGTGTTTTCACTAAGCACGCAGAAAAAAAACAATTTGACCTCTGACAGAGGTATTTCATAACCGTTTTTATACGATTCTTCCATACAGTTCTTATATTATATTTGAGCAGCTTTTCACCGATGATGATTCAACTCTAGTTAGGTTTATATTTACTGCATTTAAATACGAGGTGCCGCATGCAGGTTATTTGGAAAATCCACAAAGGGTGTGTTTATTCTTTGAGCCTCATATCTAAAAATGACGATAAATATGACTTTCTAATCTTCTTATCCGGGACAATTTAAACCGTATCGACCTTTTGCAACAATCAGTTTTACCTTATTTTTCTTTCTAGTGATTTCTGCCGGAACTACGTACGGGAATAACGCACGCACAATGATCACCCCGTGGTGTGTTTCCTAGTAAACATGGCAAGTTTACAAAACGATTCAGTTTTATGCCCAGGTAGTCATCTTGATGGAGAATGGACAGTAATTAAGACTTCCTGTATTTGAAAGACATTTTTAATCCGGGGGAGGGTCACTCACTGACGATGTATTTGTCACTGTGTAAAGAATATAGTTTTAAACAGCTTCGTCTGGGATTGTGTGGAATTGGCCTATAAAGGATTTAGGTGGGTCTAGAAAAGATTATCATCTGAGCATGATGTGAAGAAGTATGAGAAAATGAGTTTCTGGTTAGTAGTTGGTGTCAGTACAAGCTATGAATATTTTTCCCCTAGTCTGGAAAAGGGTTGTAAAATACAGTCAATGTGATGTTTTCTTAACAGCAAGCTCCCACAGAAATCTTCATAGAGTACCCCCCGGCTTAAAAGATACAGATGAACATTGTAGAAGTTTCTTGTGATTTTGAACTGAATCTAGTTTTCAATGTTTTCTCCTCACAGAAATTATTTTTGCAAGGTTCACATTCCGAATTAAGGTAAGCAAATAGAACAGTCGGTTCTGCTCCCAAGCCACATTTCAATTTATCGTTATTTGTCTATGCTCACAAGGTTGATTGATTGAAAAACCAATTACGTGTTTCTTGAAAAGATGGGTATAATACTGTAAGCTAATCAGTTGCAGACGAACTATTCAGTCCTGTGTTTTACGCCATACTGCATGGTACAATCTTCGTTTTTCGTGAATTACTTCGTGAATTGCTGCGTGAATTGTCAAAACTTGGCATAGTGCTACAGAGGTAAAAGTTATTATTAGTAGTGAGAATATAATTCAAAGAGAAGCAAACCTAATTCCATAGTTCAATGTGCAAGGAGAGTTCAAAGAAAGTTAAAGAAGTTTACTTAGTTCTTCCGATCGAGATCGTAATATTATCAAGGAGCTTGGCTGTACGCTACTGAGCGTCTACAGTCATTGATTGATCTTGATTAGGATCACGGGTGAACACAGACTAAGCCCCATCGTTCATTGGACTTTGACTCACGCAGTCGAAGAACTGATTTGTATGCCTTGATAACACGTAACATTTATAAGTATCTGGAATGCAAACTTCGGTTCCTGACCTCTGGGTCGACCAAGGAGGTTGTAAATTATATCCTATTATACTCGGAATAACAGGGGCACCCAACGACAATTTTTGGAAACTACCTGTTTGGAAGACGATTTGAGATCTAGAATTTTCGGAACATTTGTTGTTAAATTTCTTGCTTGAATGCCTCTCCTAGGATTTTGGAACCTCCCAAAAATGGTAGAATTGCCCATTTTTAACGGATTTGTCACCGTAAAAAGGTCACGTAGAATTTTCGGGAGCCTTTTTTTCTGTCTGAAATTTTCGAAAAGGTAAGTTTTGATCCCTATAATTTTCGGATCACTAGACTTTCAGCTTGGAAAGCCGAACAGATGAAAAATTTTTAGGGGATAAAAATATGCCTATATCTACCGTTGAAATACTAAAATACGTTCAACAGTGCTATGTTAATGTGGTTTTGAACTATATTCTCGTTAGGTGCCCCTGGAATAATTCAACCCATACACTCCAGATTCTTTGATGCAAATAAAACTGAACAATTTCTCGAATTGACGCAAACTGAACTGAAAGAAGCCCCATATCATCGTGAACACATTTCCGGTTTTCAGGTGACACCCTTGTATATTTCTGTATTTCCAAAAATAGAGGCCGACCCTATAAAACGGCTGCGTATTTTTTGTGCCGCGGTATATAATTCTGAACAATTTATGATTCTCAATTCCGGGGAGTAGCCAGCATTTTAGAGCTGTCGCCGCGAAGGTCATTAGTGTTCAGAAACAGTAATTTTTGCTTATTATTACAACAACGCAATACGGCGCTAAATTTTATTTGGCGTTGTTTTGAGCTGGTTGATTCTCCAAAGACTACGTGCACCGAGTGGAACACGTGAGTGCGATTGAGTTTGTCTCGTGCAAAGAGGGAGATCGTGTGTTCTAGTTTCCGGCAAAAACAGCGTAAGGGATGGGAACTACTCATCATTTAGCCTCTCTATAGATCAGCATTTGGATTGTGATGCCCCAGAGACTAATCCTAACAGTTGTATCGGTCGAGTTTTTTAATATTGATGATATAAAGCCTTATTAAAACTCCTGTTTTGTCACGTGCTGCCTGAACCCTTAAAGCAATTTGATTTTTTAACAAAGAAATGACAGGAGTATGAAAAGAGCTGTTCAGTGGATGGTAGGTTGTTTTTAACAGAGCGGCGGAGGTTTGAGTCAGGAAACTTTCAATAATAACCTGTTACAGTCTCTTAGAGAATGGCGACTAAAATGAAAGCAAATACGAAAATGGATGATTGAAGACTGAGGAAGAGAGAGAGGCAGCAACCTTCTGATTCTTTCCATTTTTCAATAAGTCATATTAGCATGCAGATATCAAGCGTCGCTATGGCAGGCTCTGCGTTTTTATTTGAGACAAAACAAAAACAAACTGAACTGCTATTAAAAGAATCTTTCAGTTTAAATGGGAATATTCACCAGTATATAGACGCGAATTTTGATCATCTAGATCCTCATATCAACTTCTCTGACGATGATCTTGCAAATGAAAGACCCATTTTTTCATTATGCATATTTTAAATATTTTTTTAATTGATTCATTATTTCTCGTTTTTTTCTTTTTTTGCAGTTTTCCTTTGCCACCTTACAGCTGTTATCGAAGTGATAAATTGCAAGGCAGCCAAGGTTAACTTCTGTTAGCCTGGCCACAACCACCGCACAAAAACCTACCATCAGAATGTATTCGCTGCGTGACATTTTAAGCGGTTATGTGAAGAAAGAGCGGAACGCGGAGGGATCACCTTGCAACGAACAAAGTAGCAAAACATTGTTCTCCAAAGAAACCTTTGAGTGTTCCATGGAAAATGGAAACCCTGTGTCTTCTCGTGCGTCTGACCTTGAACTTGGTCACCAAACTGATTCGTTACCAGACACCTTCGAATGCTCCAAAGAAAGTGGAAACCCTGCGCCTTTCCGTGCACGTGATTGTGGGCTTGATCACCAAGCTGGTTCATCACCACTTACATCAACACATCTGGTATCTTTGCGAGAGAGAATAAGCCCAGAGGAAGACTATTCTAATATTCGAAAACGCAATGTTCAAGGAATATTGCCTGACAGAAAAAGGTTCAAGGACGATTTAGTACGCCGAAACAGAGAGACAATGACTTCAACTAGTTGTAGTACGGCAACTTTAATGGCACTTAAATCAGCTTATCCAGTACCCTTTTCCGGAGAAGAGAGCACTCAAGAATATACCTATGATCAAATGAGCAACATGATGTCCAGTTACCAGAAAAATTCGCCACCTTTTAAATCAGCTATTAAGCCACTTCCTTCACGAGGCAATTCTTACGCCAAAGAAGACGAGTCACGGATTCAATTGAGCCAAGTTTATAAGAATCCGTACAACGCAAAAGCTGTGAAGGCTTTTATTGATGCTCTAACCAAAAAACAATGTCAATTTTCATTTAAACAAGGAAGTGACCAAACTTCTGGGCACAGCAAACACCAGGAAATGTTATCTGAAGAGCAGCCAATTAAACAGAATAGGAAAACGTTGTTCACAAATGGATCAGGCATTTTAAAAAGGAACCAGTTCACTAAATTAACCGCACCAAAAAGGGATTTGTCGAGGTCCCACCCGACCCGCGAGACAAGTAATTTTCAGAGTACAATGTTACCGAGGAGAGATCAATTTCCAGACATGGGTGCTACAAGCAAAAATGGGTCAGTCTACCGACATGAAACCGAGAATTATTCCTTTCACAATAGCTCCCTTGAAATTATTCCATGTTATCATGTTTACAATATAAGGCCCTCTACGCCAAATTCTCATTTCACAGTCACACCACAACACTTCCGTGTCATGGAGGAAATCGCCCAACAGGACGACCTTGCGAATAAAATCGGAGTATGCAAGCCTGAAATATCTTTCCTCAATGAGAAAGGAAAGCAATGTTCGCAGAAATTTATCTCCGGGATATCAAAAAACCTCACAAGAGGCGGCGCCAGTAGTTGTCAGTCGTACCGTCAGGAGCAGCCACGCGCCCACCCTGCACCGTCTGCAGAAAACCAACGCCCCTCAGTGATCATGGTTCCCGCAAGCTGGAGTAATATATCTTCCAGAGAATCCCATGTCCCACTGAAGGTAATTAATTCTAAAATATAACTTGGCAGTTTAAAGTTGTCATAAGAAAGAGCTTAAAGAGTTCTTTTGAGCCTGAAGATTAAAGTGAAGCCCCACTCCTATTTTCACGGTTAGAATAGCCACGAATTCTGCCTGCGCGCCATACTGGTATCCTCGTAGCACCCCAGGGAATTACAGACAATCGAGTGGAAGTCTCAGGGGAGTCCTTCTTTCTATTTAAGCCATCTTTCCCGCGATTTCAGTCTCTTTTGCCAAGTAAGGCCTTTCTTAGCCGGGTTATAATTTTGGTTTTACCTCGGTCTAGCTATTATTTTCCTTGGCTCTATTGTGTTGACTTCTCAGTGGCTTCTTTGTATTCATTGTTTTACGTCACTCGTGAGTTTCACAGGCTTTTACACCGTGGATGAGCCATAATTTTTTACCTTCCCACCTCCCCTTCGGCGACGCGGTGTACCCCCCTCTCCATTCTCTGTCTTACTAACCCTCTGCCTTTGCAAAATCTCGCTTCCCTTAACTTATTTTGCGAACGCAGAAAGTGGTTGTTCTGGTATACTAGATTCCCCTCTTAGTGGACCAAGATTCATTTCTCTTCTTGTTATTTTGTTCTACTTACACGGTCTGCAAGCAGTTCCTTTTTTTCATTGTTGATTTGCATTCTTGCACTGTTGAATAGCTGTGCAAGAATGTTTTTTACCTGTAATTTTAAATAAAAACGTTAAACTGTTTTTATCTTATTTTTCCAGAGAGTTTGACTCACTTTACGGTATCAATAATTGAAAAGAAAATTCCCTTCCAGCCCTTCTTCTCATCCCCATAAAGGATACATAAGCCTTATATTATGTCTTATTTATTTGTAATTACACTATTTATTTCGCTTGAAAAATCTTCATATTTGAGTCTTGAAACCTGTCGTAGTAACAACTAAATACGTGCACGCATTTTTTTTGACAATCATTCAGTTAACTTACAGAAATGTTAGTCAGTTGCAGTGTTGTTCAAAAAATATAAATGGGAGACAAACCTTCCTGCTATGTTTATTTTTATTGAAAGCTCTCTCCCTTTTCCAGGTAGATGCATCCTTTACTGAGCGGTCAGATGGGCAGAAGGTAAGTGCTCAAGCGGAGTTTTATCGTTTGTTTGTTCAGTTTATTTGAGAAAGGATTCATTAACTTTGGGGCCGCCTAAAACGTAGCCTGAGAAAACAGCCTACATTTCGCCTCGCGACCACTGGTTTCCCGCCGAAATGACATCGGAGGAACGAGTGCAGAAATTCCATAAAATTCCATACTGATGACGTATCACTACCCAGTACTTTCGATTCGTCCTGGCTTCAACCAATCAGAGTCACTACCCAGATTTGTTTAGTGGCACGTCCGCAGTACGGCCTTTCTGAAGTCGTTCCTCAGACGTCATTTCGCGGGGAAAGCAGTCACAGTGGCGTCAGCTGTAAATCATAACAAACAATTTTTATCATATTTAGATAGTCTTCTCACAAAGCAGTGCCTTTTTCACAGGATAACGTGGTCGATTTAGATTCATCTGACGATGATGATGGAGAAAAAGAAAAATACTTCCAAGTGAACATGGATGGCAAAACTGCAACTTTTAAGTTGACTAAAGAAGACTGGAACAGAATTCCAATAAGTACTTTTCCAAGCGGTGGTCGACTGCTCTCAGGGGACTGGCGAAAAATTTTCGTCAACAAAGTTAAAGAGAGCAACCCATGGTGCAGTCTGCGCTTCAAAAATAATCACGTGAGATCAGAAAACTCGCGCAAGATCTACTCAGCGGTCTTTTTCAGAGGGGCCGCAGAATGCAAGCGACCAGAGTGCAATGTGAAAGTGCGATTTGTTATCCAGAAAGAGAAAGGAAAATATGTGGATGTGACGTATGTGGGAAATGTGTGTCACAGCAGCGAGCCTGGAGGGAACGACTTTGTATCCTATACCTACGGGGCCAGGAGGGCACAAAATACATGAATCTTTTAACTTGAGAACGTTTTGTTGACAGGGTCCACCCATGTGCGACCACCACCGCGGTCAAACGTCTAAATCGTTATTTTTGTTTTTTATTGCTGGGATTTCATTTACCAGTTAGAGAAAAATGGGCAAAGATGTATAAATCAGTTAGTCAACATAACTATCTTTCCATTTTTCTCAAAATTTTGAGCTTTTTTCGCTGAAAACGCTTCGCACTAAAAGAGAATCATGTTTGAAAATGGCGCCGATAATAACGTCAGCGTTTTCAATCACTTAGAACTTTTTTAGTAAACTTTTAAAAAGTTTAGTAAACTAACAGGATGTTGGTACTACCCTAAACTTTCGATAGTGAAAGTAGCAACCTTAACTTTGAAGTATTTCGCTTAACTTTTGCAAATTTCACTTGTTTGACCGCTGTGAATGTGCGACCACCAACTCTTCGTATATTGGGTGGTCGCTTATGGGAGCTTTGACTGTATTTCTGGTTAGTTAGGACATTACACAAATTGTTATGAGCAGTTTAACAAAACAGATAAAGAAAATAGTTAATTAAGTACTATGATGCTTCATGCGAAGTAGTGTTGATTATTCGCGTGGTTAAAATTGTCAATAATAGTAGTGTTGTTATATTTATTAATTTTTTCGATGCATGTTGACTAAAATGGAATGGTGATAATGACAATGACGATGTACTGTGCGCTGCGAGCAGTTGGTTCCCCCTCCAATGGACCCTCCGCCCCCAAGGGTGCGTGGCTTTCAGCGGAGAAAGTATTGGTTATGATGACGAAAGTAGACTGCAAAACAGTCCGTATTTTTGCGTATTCAAGTACACGCGAGCAGTCAAACAAAAGGTCTCGAACGAGGCTGAAAACAGAGAGCGAGACCTGGCGAGAGAGGCCTCACACGTAAGACTCTTACGGCACGCTTTACCGATTTCTTTACTGATTTTGAGAAAAGAAAAACGACTGTTTTGCAGTCTATGACGAAATTTGATCATTTGCACAAAGTCCTCAAATTATTTTCATTTTATTGTCTGGACGTATCTTAACACTTTTTTAACCAAGAGGGGATGTATTTTCAAAGCAGACAGGGTACGGTTACCCCTGGCGCTAGGGTAACCCACGGCAAGGCCCCAAGTTGTTTCAACTTCAAATTGGCACAGTTATTGGACTTCATTGTGGAGGCCGGCTTTATCTCCACCATGATTGGTATAGATAGTCACAGAATTACTGATTCCATGAATACGCCTGCCGAATACCAGGAAAAAGAGGCCTCTGCTAGCAGGGAAAATTACTGAGAGCAAGCAGTACTGACGTCTATGAAGACATAGCTAGACAGATAAAGCATGGCCATAGTGTACAGACGGCCAACTGGTTTCTTTTGTGAATATTTTGTCCTCAACAAAAGAAGCTAAGTGTTCTTGGAGGGTCCTATAGTTATTGACACGCAGATTTTGATCAATTTAATTCGAAGACGTTAACTCAACATTAACACCTTCCAGAGTTCCTTGCCTTTCACAGTGTCATCATCTCTATGTTATAACTGAAAATAAAATGATGTTTTGCTAGAGCAAAGAGCTCTAACCAACAGAGTTAATAACTAAGTCTTTACAGTTACGCTACAGACATTTTGCGGACCTCACGGACGCCTTTCATATGAGATTATTTCCCGTCTTAGTGGAGCACAGTTGTTGAAAGGCCGGTTATCTCTAAGCCACCAGGTCCCCGGTTATAAACAGGGAGTAGCCAGTGGGCAAGCACTTGGGGGGTCGAGAGAATTCACGGGCGAGGGAAAGAGGAGTTACCGACACAACTCTCTTAGGGTCTGATTAGCACGGTTTACCACTTGGCCGAGATCTCTAAAGCGCAGTTAAATGCAACGAAAATCAACTGTCATTACATGACAACCCAGCCAGCCCAGACAAGGTACCTAGCCCGGCAGACACGGTCGTATAAATCTTCACCTATTCTTTAACCTTGCTAGGCCATCATTAAACTGTTGTCCTATCTCAGTCTTTCTCTTTCTAACGATAATTATTTCATAGCTTCGGGCATGTTGCGTGACCAGTGCGAAAATCAATTTCCTCAAGGCTGGTTTCCATAGAATCGATACGATCGCTAAAAGAAGTTCCCCAAGGCTGGTTTCCATAGAGTCGATGCAGGTGACCGTAGAGATCAGCAGCGCCGCTTTGAGAATGTGTTGCAATATCTTACCTTACAAAGAGAAAAAAATTTGCAAAATTCGTAGAAGGTTTTTAACGAAAGACCGTCAAGTCTGTAAATTCTGTAATTTTCGGAAGGCCATAGCACAGGGTTTGAAAGGGTATTTTCGGGATCCGGGATTTGGCCAAAATACGGTGCGCGGCTCTGGAAAACGTAAAATATCTTGATGAAAAACGGGATTCTACTGCTCCCTGAGAAGCGGGATTCAACAAAATTTGGGCACTCGATGCGGTTTTTTTTGCCTCTCTGTCTGGAATTCGGGAAATTGCACAAAATTGGAATTGTTGTAAGTTTGTAAATTTTGCAAAGGGAAGGGAGAAGAGAGGAAGACTCCCGCCGCTTTTCTTTTTCCCATCATACTGCGTGTGCCACTAGGGAGAACTGAGTTGTGAGAGACGACTGGGGATGAGTCAGAAGTGAAGAGGAAATCTTGTACTTGGAGGCCATTACACTGGGGTCAAATGTCTGACACACTATTTGTTTTACTTAGTGGGATGAGTTGATTCACCAGTAGTGGAAACATAAGAAAGGATGCATATTTAATAGTTAAAGTAACAATTTTCTCGTTTCTCAAAGTAATGATCTTTTGAGCAGTTCAGTTTTCAAACTTGTTGTTGTTTTTTATTGAACTTTGACCAACGAAAATGACAACAAAAGTATTGTCAGTCTACAAATCTGGGAAACTGCCCTCTTTCAGCTGTACCCCATCCCTAACCCAGTGTTACCACTAACTTCATAAGGAGGGTAAATTGTTGGGTCGGAGTGGTAGTAGGAGGACAATTTTGCAAAAAATTATAAGGATCCAAGTATTTTGCTTAGTTTTTGTAAATAGCTATTATTTTTCTATGGTCAAGGAGGGCATAGGCTGATAACCATAATCATTGCAAAGCCTGATTTTTTTCATTGTCCCAAACTTTTAACTTTGATCTGTTTTAACAAGTCCAGGTGTTTGCAGTTTTATACATGGGTATACAGTACAATTCACTCTGCTGAAAACTCTTGGCGTAGAATCCTTTTCTCTTCCTCCACATAACTCTTTCCTCGTGCAGATTGCCCTTGATCTCGTTTCCTCTTCTCCTTTTGTCTGAAATTTTCTGTNAATGATCTTTTGAGCAGTTCAGTTTTGAAACTTGTTGTTGTTTTTTATTGAACTTTGACCAACGAAAATGACAACAAAAGTATTGTCAGTCTACAAATCTGGGAAACTGCCCTCTTTCAGCTGTACCCCATCCCTAACCCAGTGTTACCACTAACTTCATAAGGAGGGTAAATTGTTGGGTCGGAGTGGTAGTAGGAGGACAATTTTGCAAAAAATTATAAGGATCCAAGTATTTTGCTTAGTTTTTGTAAATAGCTATTATTTTTCTATGGTCAAGGAGGGCATAGGCTGATAACCATAATCATTGCAAAGCCTGATTTTTTTCATTGTCCCAAACTTTTAACTTTGATCTGTTTTAACAAGTCCAGGTGTTTGCAGTTTTATACATGGGTATACAGTACAATTCACTCTGCTGAAAACTCTTGGCGTAGAATCCTTTTCTCTTCCTCCACATAACTCTTTCCTCGTGCAGATTGCCCTTGATCTCGTTTCCTCTTCTCCTTTTGTCTGAAATTTTCTGTTTTTTGCTTCTTTGGAGCACTTTCCTCTAAAACAGCAAAATAAGTATGGATGTCAGCACTGTAAATTAAGTTTGATGAGACTTTTCATTCTATAGAATGATGCTAGCAATGGACATGATTTTACTGTTTTATTTGGTAATTTTGATGTTAACAGGCTAATGCATCAGTCAATTCCAGCTGCACCCATGCCCCCCCACCCCCCGCTCCCCAAGGGTAAGCCCTGGGCATTCACAATTTTTTGTCTTGGATAGCAAATTCCCAAGAGTGGGTGCCAAATGTCAGCAATGGGGATCATTGACTGAACAGTCAATTAGTGCCACATAAAGCATTCTAATTAGTGGTTTTCGTTTCAGTTAACGTCTGCCTTTCTAGCACTTATTAAGACTTCACATGCAAATACACCACTTCATGATTCTTATTTTAATGTTACTTAATATCTTGATTTAAATAGTTTATTGCCTTGGTAAAAATAAATTGACATTAAAATTTATAATAGTGTGCCGTAAAGTTATCTGTTCTGAATAGTTAAATAATATGAATAGATAGATCATAATAGATCATAGTAGTTTTAGTAGAATCATCACTACTAAATATTCAAATCCTACCCAAAAAAATACATTGACTCACATCAATAGCTCCCGATTTCGCTCTCTGATTCTAACTTGATAAACAACGGAGAAATAAAATTGAGAAAATATGCCTTCAAAAATCTCCACAAGATTTTCCTGTCCTTGGCAGGTGAACCAATCTGCCAATCTCCGATCAGCTTGTATTTCAGTAAAATCCTCCATGTTACGTTTAGTTATGTTTGGATACTGCATGCGTGTCAAAAACTTGGGGCCCTAGGGTTGGCAAATGCTCAACCCCCAGGCCATGCAAAATTAGCTAATGCCCAACCCCTAGACTGATAAGGCAAGCAAATGCCCCGCGGTAGCCGGGGGATGGGGTGGGGAGGGGCACAGCTGTAACTGACTGATGAGTAACAAAGAGTACAATGTAGTTGTATGTTGTCCAAAATATAAAAAAACACTGCCCGCTTGAGTTGTTTTTGATACACACATTTTCTTCTGGAAATTATGCTAACAAAATATCATTTAGCATACGAGCATAACTAAACTTATATAAGATCGAAGGAAGGGCTGTTTCAAAACAAGGTCACCCGCCCCTGTCTCACTTCCGTTATGGCGACTGCAAATTGTCAAGAGTGACAGTGTATTCTGGAGCGTTCCCTTAAGTCTCACCTCTGTCGTTCAATATGTTCAGAGCAGCGGTAACAGATCGCTTTTCGTGAACAACCAGATGTTTTTGTATATCAGACATCTCTTTACCATATTTCACAGGAGCAGACGAGATAACAGCGTCCTCGTATTCTTCGCTGTCTCTGCTCTCTGCTACAGAAGTAAACTGCACGGGTGGAGCTGAGTATGTGTTTGGTTCATAGCGCTTTGATAGTGAATCCCAGTCTACGATACTCTCCTCCTTTGTTTCCAAAAAAGATGGTCTTCCGACGGTTGCAAACAAAGTCGTTGGCGAAGGCAATTTAGTTTTGGGTGATAACACTTTCTCCTTTGAAGTCTTTGACTTCAAACTGTTTTGAAAATCCTTCTCAGTCTCTCCATCACTATCTGAATCCGAACCAGAACTAGAATCGCCAGCAGTGAAGAAAGATAGAGGGTCTCTTTTATCTTCGTCGCCTTTTTCATCTGTGTCCGCCATCTTGCATTCTTTCGAATCATATGCAACACTACGTTACCCCATACATGA